AGATTGCCCAGGGAGGTTGTGAATGCTCCATCCCTGGCAGTGTTCAAGGCCAGGCTGACGAAACCTTGGGTGAGATGGTCTTGTGTGAGGTGTCCCTACCCATGGCAGGGGGGTTGGAACTTGATGATCTTAAGGTCCGTTCCAACCCTAACTATTCTATGATTCTATGATTATGTGATATATTGAATACTTGGGTTTGTAGATATTTGGATATACTATTCCTCTCAAAAAGACTCCAAAATAACATATTTGTAACTCACAGATAACAGTGAGCTGATCACAAAGATAATAAAAAGGAACAAATATAGAAAAACAGGAATTGAAAGTTATAATTTTAAGTCCATAGTGAGAGACTAAAGTAAGAATGTAGAGTTAAAAAAGTGCCAAATATTGCAGTACTTTTTACTTCAGCATGAATTTAGTAGTTCTTAATATTTTAAAAACTGGCATTACATTAGATTTCCGAGAATAAACAAACTTCTAACATCTAGTTTTACCTAGTTAGTCCAAGTAATCTCAAATATACTTAGCTTTAAAAGTCTGTTAATCATTGATTTTAATTTGTAAAGTAATCATTTAAAATAGAGAAAACAATAAAGTTAAATTCATTTTGGCACATGCATGTAGTAAACAAAGAACTGAAAAAGTTACTTCCTAGTAGAGAATTCTGCAACTATAATATAGGTGTAAAAGACTTCCATGACTATTCAGGTATCAGCACTAAAGGATTGACTAGACATGAGACATAAATATGGGGTGCATGTAAAAGTGAATCATACTTCCAGACTCCTTAGAGTCAAAGGGAGCTAATATGTTGGAATTTCTGTGAACAGTGAATCTGTATGTAGAATTCTCCAGTGCCCCCCATATATATATATATATATATATATATATATATATATACACAAGTAAAATAGAATACATTTAAAGAGTAAAACTTAGGGGAAAAAAAAAAAAGATCAAAATGGCTGTAGTACTTATTACTGGAATACAGAGAATGCTGCATTATCTGACAATTAAGCTGAAACATCTGACCCACCTAGAAGTATTAAAAAGGTTTAGGCAAAAGATTAAATAGTTTTAGTTCAGGAGCAATTAATTTCACTGGTTTCTCCACTCTTCAATGGAAAACAAATGAGCCAAGTATAATTAAAAAAAAAACAAAAACAAAACAAACCACAAAAAACCCTAAAAGATATTGAAAAGGAAAAAAAAAAATTAAGAAATGTTCTTGAGATGAACTATGATATAGCAGTGTAAGAAGTCTAAATTTTTCCAAACCAAATTAAACTTGATGGTACAAAACACACACTAAAGAGCAGTCATATCCTAGTAAATATGTAAACAAATTTAAATGAAGAATTGTGTGTAGAGTTAGGAAGTTCACCAAAAGTATTCACGGTTACGTCTACACTCTCCAAGTCATTGCTACCTCTTTCCTAACACGTTACATTGACATTATAATGTATGAAATTACAAATACTTAGAACTTATATAGCAGTGCTCTCTAACATTCAAAGCACTGCTCATGTGCTAATTACATTATATGAGCAAGTTTCTTCTCTGTAGTGTTTTTACAGGTGGAACGATGTTTGTTACTTTCACATAATTCTTGTATTTCTTCCTTTTCTTAAAACTGTAAGCACCACATGGAGTGATTGCTTAGCTGCCTTCACATAAACCACTTCAGGGCTATTTATTTAATCATGCTGAAAAAAGATAGTTTTGTAATTAAGGATAACAAAACAGATACAAAGATATGGCTACTTTGAAGACTTGATTGTAAAAGCCAGTGAACTACGTGGAAGACATAAAAATGAACCAGTAAAAACCTCCCATATATATAACCTGTATTCCATAAAACCAGAACATTGCATTTTTCTGGAAATTTTCAGTGACGTAAAAAAGTAGTTTCGTTTTGGAGGACAGTTTTGAATACTGTCTCCACAATTTCTTCTAGAATGTGAATCCAGAACCTTTTCAAGATCTGAAAACTGACAGAAATGTATCAGATGCTTTTAGGATGTAATAAAATACTGCTTGTATATTAACATTGACACAATAATAACTTCTATTCATTCAGCTGTGTTTTTTGCATCTGAAGTTTTCGGAAATGTGTCATAATTCTAATACACCAATCTGTAAAGGAAATTTCTTAAATACATTCAGATAAGCCACTTTAGGGATGCAGAAAGACCATTCTCTGTTAATCACATAATTCTTGATATTTACTTTTATGGTGAAGCTTCTACATTTTTGGAAACACCATCTGAGATGTTGTTGAAATGGAGTATAAATAGAGTATTATTTTTCGTAGTAATTTCTTTCATATTATAATATCCACATTTTTTCCACTTTCTTTTTTTTTAATTTTTGCCCACGGCTAACTATGTTTTTCATTTTTAACGAAAGTTAGCAGCTGTATTTACATTCATATAATCTTTTTCACGCAATGACATAGAAAAAGAGTAGAAATTGTATCAGATCCTTTTACAAGCAGTTGCAAAGTTATGTGTAAGGTCATTACAACTAAAGATAACTGTAAGTCATCTACTCTGTGCCCACTATATTAATACACTGATACACTACACTGTGCATATACAAGTAGCAGTAACTTTGTAGAAACATATCTGAAATAAAACATGTTAAACTCTAACCTTCTAAAGATCAAGTAAGTCGAAACATCTGTCTTTCTGTGCTAGAGCAATCAATTTTTTAAATACCTTGCCTGCACTAAGCAGAGCAATGCCCAGCCAGTCTCCAAGCAATGGCTACTTTTGAAGACCAAATCCCTGTTTTTCTTGCAGAGCATGATGGTTTATGAGACATAAGATCCCTTTTGGTCTATTTGGGTCTGCTGCCCTGACTGTGTCCTCTCCCAACCCCTTGCCCACTCTCACCCTACTCGCTGGGTGAGCAGTGTGACAAACAGAGAGGAATGCTCTGCAAGTACTGCTCAGCATCAGCCAAAACACTGACTGCTGTACTACACTGTACTACACTGTTTTATCACAAACCCAGTGCCATATGGGCTGCTGTGAAGAAAGTTACCTCCACGCCAGCCATGCCCAGGACATGCCCCGCCAAGGAGCAGGGCAGCTATAGGGACTGAGGGCAGCATTCTCTGGGCACCAGGAACATCCCCATGGGCACGGATGGGCTGAGGCTGGGCCTGGATGTGGGCCCAGAATATTGGAGCCTGTGGCTGGGCATGACAGGACTGTGGAGAGCTGAAGACTGGTCCTGCTGCATTGCTGGGGCAGGGAGGGGCTGAAGTGGGGTCCTGGGTTGTGGGATGGGTTGGGGAGCCCCGTATAAAGGGGTCAGGGACAGAGGTCCCCCCAGGACACTGATAATCAGCTTTCTAGACCAGGTTTGAATTCTCCAGGTGGGTGGTTGTTGAAAACTGCCAATTTCCTGTTTTGTTTTGTTTTCCTATAAATAGAAAGAAAACTGTCAACAGGTTTTATGTTTTATAGGCTCTGCCACACTTACTGGTGTATCTGAGTACTGGGATGACATAAAACATTGACAGAAGCAGTCCCCTCTGTTCATTTTTTTTTGAAAAGCAACTGTTTTCACAAAAATATTGAGCAGAAATACAATAGAGTGTAGTAGATACCGACAAGTAACATAGTATGAATACTACCATTCATCCTCACTTGTCTGTTCTTAGTACAGTGCTGAATATGATGAATGAAGATGTTTATCCCAAATTAGTACTGTGTAGATGGGTAGTTTTAATTATACCAAAAATGTTTCTTTATTGTGTATTTTCAAAAAAAGGTCTGAAAAGAATAATTAAAATTTATAAAGGAAAAGCATTCATGTGGCTTGTTATTTATTTGTTTAATATTTTTTGTATTGTTTTTGCATTTTAATTGGATTGAAATAATGAAATCAAAGCTTAGTTCCTTGACTTAACATATAAACAATTCTTAGAGGGGAAAAACTCCCTCCTTTTCCCAAATCTGTTGTCTCATTTTAAAAAGAATACTATTGGCTACTTACAAATGTTTGAATAGGAATCACTGGATTTAGAAATCAAATTTAAAGAAAAAGAAAATGTTACTGATTGGTTTTCATTTTGGTTCACAAAAAAGTATTGAGGAGTATGCACTTCCCAAAGGTATTGCTGATGGTGCACATGGAAAGGATCATATTCTTTTGAACAGCTGAAGATATGGAGACTGACCACCCTCTGAGCACAACTGGCAGGAAGTCGCATAATGGAAATTAGAACATTGTAATTCCACATTATTTTTTTTATTATTATTATTTGTTTAAAGCAAAGGCTCCCTGGAAAAAAAAAAAAAAAGGAAAATAAGGATAAAGCAATATCATGTGGTAAGTATGGGTCACCTTTTCAGAGTTTGGAATTCTACAGATTATTTCTGTTTTATTCTTTTAAATTAATGTTTGTTAGGGTTTAGAGTTTTTTTCTTTTTAGGTAAGTGTTAGTTAAGTCATCTGTTGTAAGACAGAATTCTCATTACTAGCTATGTAAATTATCAAAGCAAGATGATGTCATCTGTTCAAACTGTACACTTATGACTGGATTCTCTGAAACAGTTCAATCCCTTTCCTGTGTGCAAAATCCACAAGTATCTACTAATAGTTTGGATTGTGTACTTCATGATGGATCTTCTCTTTAAGAGAGTAACTACCAAATCATCACATCTATAAAATACCTTAGAATAAATAAATAAAGAAATATTGGGCCTAACGAACCAGAGAAAAATCTGAACCTGACATCTGTAAAAAGTGAAACACTCCTTATTGGAAGCTCTTTGAACTATCCAGGTACAGTAGGGCTTTCATAGGACCTTGGACGAGGTTAAATATCTAAAGCTTATTGAAATACAGTGACATCTATGGTTTTAAGTTCTTCTGAAATCTCAGCTGACAACATCACTTTGTAAGGAAAAACAAATCCAGGCATAACAAACAAGTTTCCATTTATAATGAAACTGTCACAAAAATACAACTTTTTTTTTTACCGGTGGAGTGCTGAAAATATAGAAGGATGAACCCTTCAGTGCAAGAAACTTAAATTTGTAGAGTTGAGATGAATCAATTCCTTCAAGTCTCTCATTTACCCATCCCATATGTATGACCTGTAAAAGAAAATAACTGAAAATTAGAGCTCTATTTTTCGTTGGAGCATAAGATATATCTGAATAGGTCAATTCTTTCCACAAAGAAGAGTGGTCATATTACAAAAGGATGTATCATCCACTTCTCCACATTTGCCTTCCCACCAGTTCTATAGTCTTAAAGTACATGGTAACACACCAATCTGTCAGAATTCCTTGAATAGACCTTACAAGTACAGATTATCTGAATCTGGTCTGAAATAATTACCATTGTAAAAGCTACCTGTGTATGTCTCAGCAGACTCCCACTTGAGCCAGCAAAACGGGTGTACTGAAATATTTCAGTCAGCAGTTTATAAAAAACATGTTCCTACATTATCTATAGCACAGTCAAAACTTGGATACATTGAAATTTCTTTTAGATGTACCTCTAAAGAAGTACATCTGAAGAAATGAACAGCTGTCTGTAGGCTCATGTTTGCCACTATGTGTTCTCATAGAATTAGAAGTCAAATTCAATTGTTACATAGTTTTTCTCTAACAGTATTACAATGCATGCCTTTATATTTCAGGTAAATTAAAGAAAAATAAAATAAAGAGATAAAACTGTATTCTTCCCCTCTGAGGTAAATCTGAAAAATAAAATAAAAATAATAATAAAAAAATAATATAATTGATGTTGTTACCCACCAAAAATAACAAACAAAAACATTTTAGGCTTCATTTTGCAAACATTAATACAAACATATTGCCCTTGAAACAGGTACTTGAATCTATACTGATACACCAATCTGAATTTACAGCTACTGCTGTATATTGTTAAGCTTGCTTGTTTTCAATTAAGGCTACACGTATGGAAAATACTGACTTACACAGGAGAAGAAATGTCATAGCACTTATGAATATACTGAGCCCAGAGAGCTTTGGTGGAAGTCAGTAGAAACAGCCTGAAGAAGGTATTCATTAAAACGCATGAAAATATCAGCATTTGTCCTATGGATAAAATTGGGGAAAATGTGATGGTCTCAGGAATGTTTTTCTATTGAAAGCCCAGTGTGTATACCTGTTGTTATTTTAGCAACAGACCACAGAGATGGCAAGTATGGACTGGGGGCAGCTAATAGTATAGATGCATGTAGATAAATAAGCATGACATACTCTTCTGTCATGAAAATCTTGCACGTTGTTTTCTAATTTTATTATTTAATGTATCTATTCTGTCTCCCATTAAGTAGTTTATCAAGAAATAAATAATTAATAATTACCTAGTCATCCTCTATAGTCTTCTACTGAGATCTAGCATTAACATTTTAACTAGATCTAAGAAAAAGCATAATAAATACAGCAGTCCTTCCAGTTCTCAAATTGATATTCTCTAAATTTAATAACTCTCATTAAAACATTGTTTCTACAGTAAAGGTTTAGAAACAGGATGTTTAGATATTTCATTACTTTAACAAATATACTATAGTATTGATAATCTACTACAAACTGTATTCCATATTATTAGTGTGGTAATATAATACCAAATAATGCAGACAAAAACAATAATGTCCAAATCACAGGGCACAAACAGTACGATATTCTCCTCTACATTCCTAAAATCATGACTGCTGACTTGCAAACGGACACCATTTATTAACCTGCAACACCATTAAAATCTTTGCTAAAATCCTAGTTTACTGATTAAATTGATAAATAAATAAGCAAAGGATATGGCTCTATTATGTTCTTTATTCACCAACATTATCATCACTATTTATTCTTACAGCAGCACCCAACAAATAATTTTGGAATTATTCACCATGTCAAGTGGCAAAACTATGTCACAGATAAATACTGCAGCTTGCCTAGGTTGTTAATCAAATATCATATACTACAGCAAACATGACACATTATGAGAAATATAACTATATATATTGTTGAAAATCAAAGATGTTCATTTAATATACTGAAAGAAGGAAACCATAAAGTTCCTAGTTGATACTCAGAGCAGGATGGTACTAGAAAACTGGAATTCCAAAATACATGTGATTTCCTACGATTAACAGGAAAAACTTGATTTATCTAGTTGACAGAATCCGTAGGTTGGAATTCATGTGAAGGCCCTATCATTGTATTCTTATCTATGCCTGCAAGATGTGATAGGAGTGCCAAACCTATAACATCAATTTAATGTAGCACTTAATCTTCTGAGTAATTTTCTTGAGTATGTATTTAACTACAAACACAAGACTGCATTTTCTAATTAGCTGCAGACTTTGTTTTTGACATCTGTTCTAAGTGTTTTACTGAAATGGAGCTGTATCATTACTGGTTTTGATGCAGCCATATCATACTGTGACCACTCTACCTGTGTTAGATCAGAATCAAGAGACTTGGTTTGAAGTATGCCCTTCTCCACACAAAGAGTTTTTTATAGTTATTAACAGCCATAAACTCAATGTTAAGCTGTTCTGTATGCTGAAATCTCTTTCAACCTCAGACAAAAAAAAAAAACAAGGAATGACACAAAACCATATTCACTGAACTAGATTTTGGGGAATGGCTTTTCTACTCACTGAATTATTAGAACATTGTGGTATCACTCTAAACATACATGGATTGTACTAAGGTCACCTATTCATTCTCCTTCATTGAAGACTACACAAAACCAGACAGTAATACTTCAGTAACATTTTGAATACATTGATCTGAATATTACTCTGCTTGACTGAAATGACTAACAAAAAATCCAATTCCAGGAAAAAAAGAGCTTCAATCAGAAAAAAAAAAAAAATTAAACTATCAAAGCAAAGAGAAAGCTTTAGAACCATTAAAAATATAAAAGGACCCTTTTTGTTTTTAAATCGATTATAGCTCCCAAGAGATATCAGAAACTGAGTAAAAGTCTTCCAATTTTTATTTTCTTTAAAACTATTACTTAGCTTTGTATTGTCAATATAATTTGTGGAACATGGAAACAATTACATACCTAACAGTAGAAATAAGAAAAATTGATCTGCTGATTTATATCTTATAAAAGAAACAAAAACTTACATGGAAAACTTACCTAGTACGTTATAGCTCAATGTCATTGAAATCAAACAAAAACCTCAACTAAACAAAAGAAAACCCACCTCAAAACAGTAAAAAACCCTCCGTAAGTCCCAAGGTTATGGTTTCTCTGTTAGCACCATGAAACACCTAAGAAATGAATGTGCTAGTAAACAAAATGTTGCAGCATTTTATGTACTTCCTAAGGCACCTATAAAATGAATGTCTGCATCAACTTGTTTAATTTTTTACTTTTTTAATGAAGATGTAAAATATTCAGCGAGCAGCACATTTGTAGAGCACTTTGAGATTTGGAGAATATCTCTGCAGAGTAATGATTGAACTCTCAGCAGTTACATACATTTAGAGAAATATAGTACAACTAGAAGACAGACAAGGTTTCTGTTCATTCATTTTAGCATTTTTGTATATTGAGGAGAAAAGGAAGGGAAAGAATATGGAATATGATTGTTCCATCAGATATAAAAGACTGAATCTGATACTTTCTTGGGAAAGAAGCAATAGTCAGGCCAGGTAGCTGAAGAGGGATAGCTACTGGCAGATAAGTGATGAGCTCATTGGATGTAGAGCTGCATTACTGTCATTTGCATGGCTTGGGGATATCAGGATGACAAACTAAAAGGTAAGTTACTAATGAATACGAAAGAGAGGGAGGAACAGACATTACAAAACATTTAGGAGGAGAAAGAAATTGATCCAGTAAGATAAAAAAAAAAAAACAAACAGGAGAAAATGTGAAACTAAAATGAAAATAACAAAAGGAAGAACAGTATACAACTATATAAAGAGGGGAGAATCAACAAAAAAATATTTGGGAGGGAAAAAAAGACCCACAGAAAAGAGGATTCCCAATGTATACTTGACTATAAAGATATAAAGACCTTAAAAAAGTAAAGGGAAATGAAAGCACTTCCTTTATTAGAATCAGTGATTAACTTATGCAAATATTGAAAAAAGTAATAAAAGTATGTATCTTTTTACTGAGTTATCAGAAAAATCTAATATCTTTTTCACTTTCTTTCCATACATCTTTCTTATTGACTGGTTGTCCTTGGTTCAGCAGTAGCAGTCATTTTTCTCCTTCATGGTAGCTGGTGCAGTGCTGTGTTTTGACTTCCAGCCTGGGAACAGTGCTGGTGATACCGATGTTTTTGGTTGTTGCTAAGTGATGTTTACCCTGACCAAGGACTTTGTGAGGCTCATGCTCTGCCAGGGAGGAGGGGAAGCCGGGAGGAAGCAGAGACGGGATGCCTGACCCAGGCTAGCCAAAGAGGTATTGCATACCACAGCACATCATGCCCGGGGTGGGGGTTAACTGGGAGTTATGTGGAAGGACATGGGCTTCTGGGTTGGACTCGTTTCTTGGTGGGTGGTATTATATTCTCTTCCCTTGTTATTTTCTCTTATTGTTGTCGTTGGTGGTAGCAGTGGTGATTTGTGTTGTACATTGGTTGCTGGACTGTTCTTGTCTCAACCCGTGGGAGTTGCACTCTTTCCATCCTCCTCCCCATCCCTCCAGGAACGGGGAAGGGGAGAGCCCGGGGGGGGGCTCGATTGCTGTCAGCCCAGCACCACTCACTGGGAGTGAGTGAACAAGCTGTCTGGCTAGGGTTTAAACCACGACACTGGTGGTTTACTTAATGACCATTTAGACCACAGAAATGCAGAAAGAATAATTATTCAGTTCAACAAAAGTCTATATACAACAGAAGCAACTGAGTGTTGGCAATTAATAACAAGCTGCTTGTGGTTCATAAGTAGGCTACTGAGATTTTAATTGTTTCAGTACATGGGTGTGAACATTAGTGCTGGGATAAAACCTGTTCTGTTATTTGGATTGAAACCTGACATTTGAAATTTAAGGAGTGCTCAGAAGGCGTAACATTACAGACTGTCCCATTCTTAGCACTGCCTTCACCACTTTATTCCTATAATACATAATCAATTTGAGATTGTTATTTGAA